GTTTTGTCCTTTATAATAATTATTATAAAAGGATTTACGATTAGCAATAACAATCTCTTTGGTAATAAACATGTCTTACATCATCACTAAGTGTGTTTATCATTCATTAACTAAATGATTGTTTTGCTATTTAATAGGTGATGAAAATGTTACTTACCTGATTCTTATTTTCTTTTCTTACTTCATTTTTAAGGTGGGCTTTCAAGGCTCTTAACAACTTGTCTGCCTGCAGAAAAGTTAAAGACTATCAGTAGAACCAAAATCAAATAAGCAAGAAACGTACATTGAACATTTTCTCCTGTTCTCACACTCATCAGATGTCCTCTGGGCAGGCTCGGGGACTAGGATGATCAAGATAGAATTGGTCCCTGTCGGCACAGATTTCACAGACAGGAAAGTGGCAATTACAACGCAGTAGGATCCGTGCCAAAGTGAGGATGCTCAGGTATTGTGCGAGGACACAGGCAGGCTGGGCCACCAGAGCCTGGACTGCTCGAGTAGACTTCAGCAGGTACCTGGACACACCAGATCTAAGATAAAGACGTGAGGTCTCTAGCTGCTGAGGGCTGAAGGACAAAAAGGAGAGTGGATATAGGGAAAAGGGTAAAGAAACAGCACAAGGAGGCAAGAATGAGTGGAGTTTGGAGAACTAAAGTTCAGTGTGGGCTGAAGCAGGGAGCTGTTGGAGGCGATGGTGAGAGAGAATGCTGAGAAGTGGGCCTGAAGCTGTCAGGCTTGGTAAGACTTGGGAGTATGAATGTTACCCTCAGGGCAAAGGCAGTCTGAAGAGTTTGCAGGAGGGCAGTAAGGTGACCAATTGTGTATTACTCAGAATGACAATGTGCACAATGGTCTGATGAGAGTAGGTGGAAGACAGGGAAATGAGTAGGACGCTATTGCAGGAAACCAAAGATGACTGTGGCCTGAGCTAGAACAGGGCTGAGGCCATACGGATGGCTTCCAAATTTTCCCAGGAAGCAAAATCAGTGTGAACATAGGGGTTCAGGAGAAAATTAAATGTCAAAGAAGTCCAGGAAAGAAAGTGGTTTGAGCAGAAGGGAGTGTTCAATTATGCCAAATGCTGCTGATAGGCAGGTGAGGAGAGATGGACCACGAGCTTTGTAAGATGCAGGTCTCGTAAGATCAATTTCAGTAGAAAAGAACAGAGAAATTGGGTAGGAGATGAAGGACATAGGGTCAGGAGAGGGGTTTTGTTTTTCTTTTTAAAGATAGGTACCATCAAGACTCAATTGTGATAAAAATGTTAAAAAGAAAGAAAAAAATTGACACAACATTGTAAAATGATTATAAATCAATAAAAAATGTTAAAAAAGAAAGAAAAAAAAGAACTCAATTGTGAGCGTTGTGGAAATGAGCCAGCAGAGCAGGAGAGACTGATGCGGCAGGAAGGAATAATGACAGGATTGCAGCCCCAGAGCGGTGAAGGGGATCTTAGGCACAAATGGCAAGGCTGCCCTCAGGCATAGCCTTTTCTCATAACATATAACAGGTGGAAGGCAGAGTATACAGGGACAGGCGCAGGCTGGCTGGAGGGTTTGGTGATGAAAAGATGAGGTAATTCTCAGATGATTCCATCTATTTTCCATGACCTTTGAGGAAAAGACATCAAGTGATGGAAGGGAGCCAATTTGCGGTGAGAAGATATGAAATAATTGTCCTCAATAATGGGAAAATTAATGACTACAAGGATGTGTCGGACAATCAAATAAATCATAAATTTATGGTCCCAAATGTAAACTAAGGAAGTTAGGTGATTTTCTCCAGCCAGGGTCAGCTGGTTAGGTACAGGCAAGGATTAAGCACACGGCTGGGTTTAATCAGACGTGGAGTTTTGCCAGGTGAGGGAGGACAGCTGCAAGAAAGTGGAAGTAGCACCAGTCTTTATAGCCTAAGGCTGCAAGAATGAGAAGAGAAAAGGACCAGTGGCCATGTAATAAATCTTAGTAACTGATGCCTTCATTTTGCCTTACCATTAAGAGTAGTCTCTCAAAAGAAAGAATATCTTCTCTTCTAAATTTATTTTGAATGTTATCATACTGGTGAAATTTATTTAAATCTCATTCTGTTAAGTTTAGAAAATAATCAAATCTTGATAAGAGGCATGTACTTGGAATTTTAAAAAAGCAATTGATTTAACAAGCTCCTAAGCTGTACCAACTGTAGATAATTTAAAACATTTTAATTTTGGAAGATTTTAAATGGATACAGAAACAGAGAATAGTGCAGTGAACCCCCATGTATCAACTAGTTTCAACAGGTTACCAACATCGTGCTGTTCTTCATCTAGCCCTCCCCTTTATTTTTCCTGGAGTATTTTATAGTAAATCCCAGGTATCATAACAGTTTACCTGCAACTATTTGGTATGTATTTTCTTTCTTTCTTCTTTTTTATTAAACATTTTTTTCTAGGTATGTATTACTAAGAGGAAAGGACTTAAAAAAAAAGCATAACCACAATCACACACAATAAAATGAATAATACTCTTGTATACATCTATCAAAATTCATCAAATTGTACACCTGAAATGTGTAGTTTACTGTACAGGAATTATACCACAATAAAGGTATTAAAAATAAAATAATACCTTAATATAATTTAATACCTAGTCCAGGTTTAATTTCCTCCAATCGCCTCAAAAGTGTCTTTTTATAGTTGGTTATAATAAAGCCTTGTATAGTTAAATTTGTCTAGGAAATAGTACCTCTCAACAAATATTTATTGACACCTACTCTGAGCCAGATATCGTATGCTAGGCAGGCAATGGGGTCTGCAGTGACAAGAAATATTGTACTACTCCATTTCTATAAAAACACGTGATTAAATGGCTACCCCAGATCAGGTCCCTCAAGAGACCATGATAGGTGGGATTTTCAGAAAAAGATCTAACTTGCAGTAGCTCTTCAGAGATCCAAATGGCTGAGCCTTAAGGTTGGCCAGAACTCTGAACTCATGTAGGAAACCTCCACCATTAACTCTTGACAAAGGAACGACCCTCTGGTACATTATTCTAGCACTGCCAGCAAGTGCTTGTAAATAGTAGTTCCGAATAAATTATTCAGTACGTTCCCAAACAAAATGTATTGCACTTAAGGCTGTAAGGACTTCCAAGGTGGATGAATGAGATCCCTGTTCAAGGAATTTAACTTTTAGTAGAGAAGAGAACATACCTACACAAATAACCAGAGGGCAAGGGGGAAGCCTGCAAACGCTCAGAGATTACTTGAAATTATACCTCCTTAAAGGCGCAGAGTATTCCTGGGATTACTGGGGTGGCAGACTTCTGGTCAAGGAAATGAAGAGGAGGGAACGAAGTGCCAAGGCAGAGATGACCTTTCAGTTGGACTACTAAGAGTTATAATATATAATATATTATGTATTTTACAATATGTATTATGTATTATATAATATATAATTCCAATATATAATAATTGGAACTTATTCATGCAGACAAAGAAGAGGGAGAGAAAGGGATGTGAGGCCAAAGGATCAAAAATTAGCAAAGGCAGAAAGATGGGCAAAGATGCCAACTGTTCAGGGACCAGTACAGTTTGGATGCTGCCTTGGATAAAAGATTCCAGCCAGCCTACAAAAAACTTAGGGGATTTAAACTAAAGAATTAAGACTTTGTTTATGAAATACTGAAGAGCCATTAAATACTATAGCTCAGAAATATTTCCAAAGATAGTCCCTTATCATTCAGCCCCAACTGGTGACTGGGCACGGATTGTTTTGTTTAAACCAATTAAAAACATTCGTGAGGACTGATTTAGGCATTCATTCAGTAAATACTACAGCCTGCAGAACAAATCTCCAGCGTGTACATTAGTATTACTGGGAAAACTCCACTAGAACATATAGAACCCCTTCCCCTCCAAAATCCCCACATTTTCCTCCAAACGTTTTGCAGTCTCGGAGTAAAAGACTTAACCAGTTTCGAAAAGAACACAACCACAACAGCGATCAATAGAGGAACAATCATAATAGATCAGGGCTTAGTTATAAAAGCTCATTCACGGGGGGAGGGGCCCCCTAAAAGTCATCCTTTCTTCCAAGACCCCCAATAAAGTAGCAAAATATTTTGGACTCTATTACAATTTATAGAAATGTTGGCCGTTTGGAGTTTCCAGAAGCCAAGGCAATTATTTCCGCGACTGCCTAACAATTAATCGGCATTAGACACAGCATCCTTTTAGCTTTGTGCGCCTGTGTTTCCTAATTAACACCCTGGTAAGTTTTATAGAGTACCGCCAATAAAACAAAATTAAACAAACCCTTTTGGAGCCGGGGCATTTGTGAGCCCCCAGAAAAGTAAGCCTTAATAAAAGGTGAAAACTATAGCTCCCTTTCAGTTCTGCAGAGTTAGTGGGGCTCTCGGGTGAGCCCAATCTACCGTCCCAAGGCCGGGACAGCCGCCTCAGTCCTCGGGGGTTCCCGTTCGGTCCCTTCCCACCGCGTCTCGTAGAGGCCGCTCGCTCATCCTACCCGACCCGCCACCCGCCTGCGCCACCGGCCCCGTACCCTCAGGTTAGCTCGGAGGCCCAGACTCTTGGCCAAGTTCTGCAGGTCACTGTACTTGAAGGAGTCCAACTCCTCCAAGGAGGGGACGGTCATGGCGAGCTGCAGTCCAGGTGACCACGCAGAGGAAGCGTCGTCTAATCCCCAAAGCGCCGTTCAACACTCTGGCGCCACTCTAAGCGTTGACCAAACCGACTTTTATAGAGAGTTTAAATTAAGAATGCTGCACTTCCATTGGTTAAAAATGCCTCAAGGGCGGGGTCTCCTGGTGTTGACCAATAGAAAGGCTGATTTCCCCTCCATCAGACGCACATTCTTCCCCACGCCTCACCAACAGCGAGGCGCCGAAGGGCGTATCCAGGCAACGAGTGCGCAGCAGAACCCCCCCCGCTCACGTTGTCCAATGAGGGCGCAGGAACCGAGCTTGGGGCGGGGCCTGGTGCGTCTTTGAAACGGAGGCGCGGGCTGCAGGAAGATGGCGGCTCGGCCGCGGAGGCACCGTTCCCGCCATGCGCAGCTGCTGCGGGGTGACTTTTGTGATGGCGCTACGAAGGCGATTGACGAACCTTCTTTTACGGCTTCCATGGAGTGGGACACACAGGTGGTGAAGGGGTCTTCGCCGCTCGGCCCCGCAGGGTTGGGGCCGGAGGAGCTGCCATCTGGCCCGCGGCTGCCGTCGTGGCTGCAGCCCGAGAGGTGCGCCATGTTCCAGTGCGCGCAGTGCCACGCCGTGCTCGCTGACACTGTGCACCTCGCCTGGGACCTGTCGCGGTCCCTCGGGGCCGTGGTCTTCTCCAGTGAGTGGGCGCGGCGTCTGGGGAAGGCGTAGCGGGCGGAGGTGTTGCCAACTTTCTCACCTGGTGACCGGCTGGGGATGAAAACGGGATGAAAATTGGAAGGAAATAAACTCCTTTGCCAGGAGTGGAGGCGACTTTTCATGATTTTTGTGCCCCTGATGAGTCTCTCTGGAGGGGAGAGGTTTTCTCTTTCAGTGCCTCACAGGTAGCCATTCTGACCCGTGTTTGTCTTCCTAGGAGTCACAAATAACGTAGTTTTGGAAGCTCCCTTCCTAGTTGGCATTGAAGGTTCTCTCAAAGGCAGGTACGTACTGAGAATTCCCGATCAGGTCTTTATAGTCATTTTCTGACTTAGATTGAGGGGCGTGGAACCGAATTGCATGAGGAGAAAAGAATTTCTTCCAATCTTGCACTAGAAGAAAAGTTTATTCCGTCTATAAAGTGTATTTGAAGGATGCTCCTTTTACCTGATTGAGTCTTGTACAAACTTGATGTACTAATGAAATAGAAAAGTTGTATTTGCTTGTAGGTTTTAAGGTCTTTGTGAGAGCCACGTCTCCCTAGTGACTAGTGCAGGTGAAGTGAGTCTAAGAAAGTTGTATCTAGCAGGAGAAAAAGGAGAAAATTACCTTTAGGTGTATAGTGAGAATCACTTACTATAAACTACAATCTTTTGACATAACTAGGACTTTTAATTTTGCATTTAACCTGGAATTTGTAATAAGTTACGGCAGGACTCATTCTACTATAGCCCTGGGAACCTGGGGAAAAACAAATGTTGAATGTTATGTACTTGAATACTACCTGGTAAACGTTCTATCTTGCCTGTAATATAATTTACAAGTGACAACAAAGTGCTCAAAGAATTCAGTAGTACAAAGCTCTTTGATATTCAGTGTTGGTTTTAACAGCAGGACAAATCATTCTGACTATGGTTTGGTTCAATTTTAGGGTTAGAGTACATATAGGAATTCTTAGTTGCTTTACTCAGTAACCAGGAAGAGTTCTGCAGTTCCTCTTTCCTACCTGAAATACACTCCCTACCCTTGCAGGAATGTCCTCTTCCCACCCAAAGGAAACAGAGAGGGAAGGGAGTGGTGGCCTGCCTGGTATTGGTTTATCTGGGGCCAGAGGCAGAAGCTCTCTGAATATCTTCTTAGAAAGGAGGATAATGTATCCTGAGCCCTGCTGTCCCATACTGCAACCACTAGCCACATGGTAGCTATTGAGCACTTAGAATATAGCCATTCTGTTTGTTTTGTTTTGTTTCATTTTTTGGAGGGGTGGTTATTAGGTTTATTCATTTTAACAGAGGTACTGGGAATTGAACCCAGGACCTCGTGCATGCTAAGCGGGCACTCTACTGCTGAGCTATACCCTCCCCTGTAGCCTTTCTGAATTGAAATATTCTGAGTGCAAAATACACACCAGATTTTGAAAACTTGGTCCAAAAAACTAAATGTTAAAAATATTGATTACATGTTGAAATGATATTTTTGCATATTGGGTAGCATAAAATATATAAAAACCAATTTCACCAGTTTCTTTTAACTTTTTTTAGCAAGACTAATAGAAATTGTAAAATTATGTGGCTCACATTCTTAATAGACAGTACAGATCTAGGTGGTTTAAGAAACACTGGAGGGAAAGTCCCATTGTTTGTATATTTTTGGAATAAGGAAAGCCGTGGAACTCAGCAGGAAGAGATTTATTATCAGGAATTGGCTCACTTGATTATGGAGAGTGAGAAGCATCCATAGCTGGCAAGCTGGAGACACAGGAGAGCCAAGGGTTTAGCTCTAGTCCAAGTCCACAGACCCATGAAAGCAAAGGTGTAAATTCCAGTCCAAAAGCCAGTAGGCTTGAGACCCAAGAAGAGCTGACCTTTCAAGTCCAAAGGCAAGAAAAAAGAGACCAATGTCCCAGCTCAAGGCAGTCAGGCAAGAGGAGTTGCCCTTTATTCATTGAGAGGTCAGCCTTTTTGCTCTATTCAAGTCTTCAACTGAGTAGCTGAGGGCTACCCACAATAAGGAGGGCAGTCTGCTTTACTCAGTCTATGGATTCAGCTGTTAATCTCATTCAAAAACACCCTCATAAACACATTCAGAATAATGTTTGACCAAATAACGAAACTCTTCAGCTCAGTCAGGCTGATGCATAAATTTAATCATCACTTGTTAACTTAGCATCCACATGCATCTCATAAAACTATCCTTAGTCTACAAATAAAGACAGTAACAGGGTCATAATCCTTGCTAACATGGACAGCTGTCCTGCTTACAACTGAAAATGCACTAATCCCTCCTCCAGAAAAGAAGGTAAAGTCCTTAAGTGATACTTACTTTTCTCCTTGATATCTCATAACTTAAATACTATGATATACAGTTACCAATACTTCAATACGATGATAAAAAGTCATTACATATTATGTTACACGATAAAGGAAAAGAGAGGGAATAAAACTGGTGAACACACACATATATGAACATATTCATAACAAAATAAAAGATATTCATAAGTTACATTCCTTGTTTCTGTAACTGCTCACATGGTCATAGCTGGTATTTAAAACTCTTCTTCCACTGTTCATTCTGGGTTCCTTTTGTCTTCAGCAAGCACTCAGCTGGTCATATTTCTTTACCTGGTGTGATGATGCAAAACTTCATTCCTGGGTCATTAGCAGACTAATATTCATGAAAATTTTTGTTTTATATTACATGCTAAGTATAATTTTTGGATTTCTTTACATTTTGCTCTGTGCCATATATTAGTTTCTGTGAGACATTTGTCGGTAGGTACTGTGCTTTGTCTGATAAAATTTAATTCCTACATAGGAATTAATTCAGATTAATGCAACTTTATTTCATTGCTTGATTTTTTGGTTACTATATTCACAGAAATACAATATGCATGTGTGGTGTGGGACTTTATTTACCAATAAATTGAGTATATTTTGTTGCTTGGTTTTCTTTAGTATCCATTGATACAAATCTGGAGTTTTGTTTTGTTTTTTTTTTTAAATTGAAGTATAGTTGATTTACAGTGTTGTGATAGTTTCTGGCATATAGCATAGTGGTTCAGTTATATGTATATTCTTTTTTGTATTCTTTTGCATTATAGGTTATTATAAGCTATTGAATGTAGTTCCCTGTGCTATACAGTAGGACCTTGTTTATCTGTTTTATGTATAGTAGTCTGTATCTGCTATTCCCAAACTCCTAATTTATCCCTCCTCCCCAGCCCCTTTCCCCTTTGGTAATCATAAGTTTGTTTTCTATGTCTGTGAGTCTGTTTCTGTTTTGTAAGTAAGTTCATTTGCATCATTTTTTTAGACTCCACACATAAGTGATATCATGGTGTTTGTCTTTCTCTATTTAACTTACTTCACTTAGTATGATAATCTCTAAGTCCATCCATGTTGTTGCAAATTGCATTATTTTACTTTTCTATGGGTGAGTAGTATTCCATTGTGTATATCACATCTTCTTTATCCAGTCTTCTGTCCATGGACATTTAGTTTGCTTCCATGTCTTGGCTATTGTAAATAGTGCTGCTAGGAACATTGGGGTGCATGTATCTTTTTGAATTGGAGTTTTCTCCAGATATATGCCCAGGAGTGGGATTGCTGGATCATATATGGTAACTCTACTTTTAGTTTTTTAAGGAATCTCCATATTGTTTTCCATAGTCGCTGCACCAAATTACATTCTCACCAACAGTGTAGGAGGGTTCCCTTTTCTCCTCACTCTTTCCAGCATTTATCATTCATGCTTTTTAATGATAGCCATTCTGATGGTGTATGGTGATACCTCATTGTAATTTTGATCTGCATTTCTCTGATAATTAACAATACTGAGCATCTTTTCCTATGTCTGTTGTCCATCTTTATGTCTTTATTGGATAAATGTCTGTTTAGGTCTTCTGCCTGAATCTGTTTATTTTTAGCCATGCAATTATTATACTTCATTAGTACTTTTTTACTGCACAGTATATTATGTTTATACAAATAATTCTTCCCCTTACCAAACCACTTTAAATTGCTTTCAGTTGCATGCACGATGAAACAGTTAATTTTTTTCTTAAAACATTTCTTTGTAATATTTGGATTTGTCTTATATGCCAGCATATAAGGTTAAGTGACTTACCCAATTGGTACAGTCAGAACTAAAATCAACATTTCCTGATTCTTCATCCAGAAATCCTTTAGACGATAAAGGAAAAGTAAATAGGTGGTTTGCTAGGATAATACAGTTTCTTTTCTTTCTTTTGCATTTTTAGGTAATTTTTGCATTGTAGGTAATTTTTTGTTAATTTTTTGTTATATGTGCAAGAGAAAAATCTTGAGTTCCATTAATAAATTGCATAGTAAGCCCTAATCAATTTGATTATTTTACTTCAACTGGAAATTGGTTTAATGGTAGCTAATTTATATGGTCATGTGTAGTTTTATATGTTTAATGTTAATCTGATTAGTTAGCCCTTTTTCTGCTTTTCTCATATAAATTGCTCTAGTGAAGTGACAGTCGTACATCCATGACTGCTTTTATGGCCAGAATCCACAGGGTATCTGTAATCTAGGGTGTAATTATATTAAAATCTGAGTTAACCTTTCTTTAATGTGACATTTCTTCAGTCTCATTCTTATATAGCCTAGTTTTTAGGAATGATTCCAGAGACTGGTTATTTTGTATTTGCTCTCTGCTTTTCTTTCTTACCCATATTCTGTTTTCTTCCCCCAGCACTTACAACCTTTTATTCTGTGGTTCGTGTGAGATTCCCATTGGTTTCCATCTGTATTCTACCCATACTGCCCTGGCTGCCTTGAGAGGTCACTTCTGCCTTTCCAGTGACAAAATGGTGTGGTGAGTAGACTTAGATAGTCTTAGATTTCAAATAAATTTTAAAAGATCTTCCAGAAAAGGCAGAATGTTTGTACAAAAGAAGATGCTAAAGCCAGGCACTGTCTCTTACAAAAAAGATGGCAGTGGGATGAAAATATAGTCTCATAACATTATGATCATTTTAGATGTTTTATAATCATACCATGTGTTAATGATCATACTATGGAATAATTGAGAGGCTATTCCTTCACTACAGGAACTTTTGGAAGGTAAGTTTTTGTAAAATAACATTGTAGTAGACACTTTTTAGGTTTGTGCCCAGCCTATCTTCATTCCATAGTGTGGGACCTTATGGCCATGTGTGTGACCTGTGTGACATCACTCCCGGGTGATGGATGGGATCAAGAATGGGGACCTGAGCCAATCAGGCTTTCTACCCTAAGACTTTGAAATAAGGACCCAGAGATATTGGTCATTTGTAAATGGTACTGGTGCTGAAGCTGGGAAGTGAAAGTTCCAGGTTTAGAGTGGATATTTTCTAAGTTATACATGTAGATGCAGAGAAATTTTGTCTGCAGAAAAAGAATGAAGCAGATATACAATGAAAAGTAAAAAAATAATGACCATGTGGCCTCATGAAATAAGAAAAAATTCCTTATTGGCTGTTCATTCTTGTGGATTACTTTGATTCTTATATCCCTAAATATAAATTCTACCATTTACTTAAGCTTTTTTTTTATTACAACAAACTGAAATACCCTTCAAAGTCTCTTCTTGATCATTAAAAACAAAAAAACAAAAACAGCCATTGATGATGTAATTTGTGCCAGTTTGTACCACCATGCTTACCTCACTGAGTTCTTAATATAAGAAAATGGAGGCTTGGAGACATGGAGGAGCTGAGATTTGAATCCATGTCTTAATTCCAAAGCTCATTTTCCATTCATAAAACAGAAAGCTTCCTTTTTCTCATTTAACGTGCTTAGATAGGTGTTTCTAGCTGAGTTACAAATGACTGAGCAATAAAACTTATAAATAAAGCCCACCCTTTACCATGGGGTTGTTCAGTGTGCATTAGGTATACCACTTGTTCTTCAACATAGATTTCAACAGGAAATATGTACTTGAGGTTCATTGATATTTTTCTTCCAATTTCTAGTTTCTTCTTAAATAATTTCTATTTAGAATTAGGTTTAGAGAGATTGGGAAAAGTATTTCTGAATGTTGTGCTATTTAGTAACCTCAAATCTTTTTAAAAACAGTTATAATTAAGTATTTAACCAAACTGTAATTGAGTTTTTGCTTAGGGAAGTAAGGTTTTAGTAATAAAAAATTTTAATATAAAGTTGAAAGGCATTATTGGATTTTAAGTCATTTCTTAATCTTTAAAATGAGGAGTTGGACTCAGAGGTTGGTATATTCCTTTTGGTTAAGTAGATATTAGGAAAGTATAGCTAGCATGAGGCTGGGAACATGATAAATCTATGTCTGTGAGTAGCAGTTAGGATGAATTTGGTTGCTAGTAACAGAAAACTGAAGTGTGGCTTTACCAAGTACAGGGTGGGGCAGTTGGCCACTCCAGGAATGTTCCAGTGGCTCAACCACGACAAGGTTCTGGGTCAGCATCTCCAGTTCTCTTGTCCCTTTCCTGTTGGATCAAGATGGCTGCTGTAGGTATAAGCATTACATCCACAGATAGTAGCATTCAAAACTGGAAGGAAAAGGATACATGAGAAGTCTGGGAACACAGGGATTGGTCTCCTTTTATCAGCAAAAATTCCCTTATCATTGGCAGAACTGTCACATGATTGCCTCAAGCTGGGAAAGCAAATATGTGACTTGCCACCGTTGGCCTAGATCAGTTACTATTAATCTTTTAGGACTGGGCACTCTGTTGCCCTCAACAAAATCTGGGTTCTGTTAGCAGGAAAGATCTGAGGAATGGCTATGGGGTAGGACCAACAGTATTTGTCACAATGTGATTATTTTTCTTCTGTGCTACATGATCTACTGGTGGAGTGTGACACTTATACTCATCACAATTATTCATATGATCCTGGTTTTTTGTCTTTAGTTTGTCCCAGCATAATTTTGGCTCATGTATGCCTGGCTGACAGGGGGTGAGATGAGGTACAGAGTCTCTTTGATGACTTGCTAATTGAGAATGCTTTTCCTACAAAATACATTATGAATCTTGAAATGGAAATCAGTAAGAAGGCAGTCTTAGTTTGACAGATAGCTGCAAGTTTGGCTCCTTGATAATCTTAAGTGTTGTACTAATATTTTCTCTATTTTCTATCTAGCTACCTCTTAAAAACAAAAGCCATAGTAAATGCATCTGAGATGGATATTCACAACGTACCTCTACCAGAAAAGGTTGCAGAGGTAAAATTTTATGCTGGTTTTGTGTTTCCTTTAATATAGACAACTCCTGATAATCTGTACCTGCAAACTTGGGGGCACTGAAATGGTGGGTACTCCAACAATCCTTTATGCTTGCTTTTTGACATTCTGTATTGAATGTGACACAAAGCAAAATATTAAAGCCTTATTGTCAGGTCTGGTTCAGGAGGAGGTGGAGAGCTGCTGAGCTGTGCATTCCTATACCCTCCTCTCTGTGCTGGGAATAGACACCAACATCCTTCATAGGTCTGTCCTATTTGCAAGCACCTTATGCTTAGATGTCTCAGAGAAGAGTGGTGAAACCATCATTATGAATTCTTATTAAATGAATTTTACTAGGGTGTTATGGTTTTGAGGTGAAGAAAGCAACCTTGTTTTGGTAGCTTGCTGACTCATTTTGAGTGGAAATTTGGCTATAACTTTACTACCCTCAGAAGAACAACCTTAGAATTTACTGTTGGTTTTGTTATTAGCACTGTTCATAGTTTATTCTTTGCTAATTACCCATTTAGTAATCAGGGCATTTATTTGCATCATTAACTAAGCTCATGAAACCATGTTTTAAGCCAGGAATTGGCTTAAATGTTCTGTAAAGGACTGGATGACAGATATCTAAAGCTTGACCATTCAGTCTCTACTACTCAACTCTGCCACTGTAGAGCAAAAGCAGCCATAGCCAATATATAAACAAATGGATATAGCTTTGTTGCAATAAAACTTTATTAAAACAAATGGGCAGCAGGCTATCCTGTAGGCCATCGTTTGCCAACCCTTGCTCGAAGCAACTAAGTTGATGAGGAGGGTCAATAAATACTGTGATTAGAAATAATTTGTATGGGAGATGAGTTCCAGAATGGTGGCCTGATGAGCTCCATGGACCCGTCCCCAACAAATCAGCTATACCTGAAAAAAATTATAGAGAAAACAGCATCTTAAGTCTGTGGAAACTTTCCCCAAGGAATAAAGCAAACAAAGAGACATTTATTCAAGAAAATCTACTAAACTTGGTAAGAGCAGTGAGTCTGTGGCATTTGAGCCACAAACTACCTCCTCCTTCCCTTCCCTGCCCCTCCAGCTTAGAGGGAGGCAGGCTCCATCTGGGCAGATGTGGCCAAGAACACAGAGATCCTTATTCCCTAGCTCCCAGCTGAGGGCTGTGGTATCTTCCCTGGAGGGGAAGGTTACCAGCATTTCTCATCAGAGGGTCTATATTCCAGGCAAGAACAGCAATGTGTAGTGTGCAAGTTCTGCCACAGACACAGTAGGCTGAGTTCTGGAAACCCATTCATCCTTGCCCCACCGTGCTTGTAGGCTAGACATTTCATGCTAGCAGAGGCAAGCTGAGAAGGCCAGAAGCTACTGCCTTTGCCCAGCACTCTGCTTGTCAAGCAGCGGTGTTATTTTGAGAGACATTATCCCCACCCCAGTTTGGAAGCCTAGATTTAGACAGATTGTTTTAAAAAAAAATTAACTAAAAAACCTCTGAAGCTCTCCCAAGGGAACTAACTTTATTTAAAACAGAGTGTGGGGATGTTCAAGTCTAGGGTTGCTGCCCAAAACAATGCAGATTTTGGTGGTGAGCAATTAAGAGGAAGCTGGTAGTCCATGTGAGCAACAAGCTAAACCACAGACAAGTTAGAAGTTTATGAGAGAGAATCAGAGGAACTGCTAAGAAGAGCCCTCCTGGGGTTGGAACAACAAAAAAAAAGAATGCCCTTAAAGACTACCCTTACAAAAAAAAAAAACCAAACTTCTCTTAAAATGGTCCTGATTTTAATTGGATTAGACTATGGAGCAATTTATGTCCCAGGGCACCGTTAAAATAGAGCAGTCAACCAGAAATTAGTGAAGGCTGATAGCTGGGTGTGATATCAACAAAGGCAGCCAGTTTATACAGAGATCAGGGAAAGAAACAGTCAAAGAAGGCTCTGCTAAAACCACTGTTATCCCAGAGTGACTGCACAGGTCCAAAGCTGTGTCCTCTGAGGAGTGCCATCAGAGGCTGCACACTGTGAGGGAAATAGGTATCAATAAAACAGTCTAGCCAACTACCAAACAGATAAGCAAAAAACAACCACTACAAGCCAGGAGGTGAATAGGGGGGTGTTTACTATCTGGAGTTGCTACAATATATTACTTAAAATACCTGGTTTTCAATAAAAAATTAGGAGACACACAAAGAAAGTCTGACCCATACACAGGATAAAATGTAGGCATCAGAAACTGCATTTGAAAAGGCCCAGATGTTGGGACTTCGCAGACAAAGCCTTCAAAGCAGCAATTAATCATATGTACAGAAAACTAAAGGAAGCCATGCTTAAAGAAGTAAAGGAAGGTATAATGACAATGTCTTATTATAGAGGATATCCCTTAGGAAATAGAAATTAGTTATTTTTTTAATGGAAATCTCGGAGTTGGAAAGTACCGTAACTGAAATGAAAAATTCCCTAGAGGGGCTCAACAACAGACTTGAATTGGCCAAAAAATCAGCAGACTTGGAGACAGACTGATGAGATTTGCAATCTGAAGA